ATCTCTAATCACATATGTTGTTTTTACGTTATTTTTAATGTGCTAATTTATCAAAAAGGATTTAAAAGTAACTTTTTAAATTTATCATCGTGACTCCCAGCAAACACCCGACGTTGACACAACGTTGGATCACGTTGACACAACGTTGGATCAACGTTGAAAATTGGTCGCGACGTCGGCGACCTTCACACAACGTCAAACCAACGTTGAAACCCCAACGTCTAATAAACGTTTCATTTTGACGTCGGCTCGACGTCGGATTTTGGTCGGTTATCTGACAATTGTTAAATTTAATTTATAAAACCAATATATATAAATATAAGCATAAACAGTGGGAATTTTAAGTTTCTTTAGAAAGGGAAAATTATACATTTATTTGCCCAATCGAAACAACAACAGTGTCACGTGGGTGGTTACTGTACGATATTCCATAGGTGGCGCTCGGTAAACGGATAGCCGCAGATCAGTATAATATATATTTGCTCTATTTTCTTTTTAATAATAACTTATATCCTCGAATTAGTTAAAGAAGTGTTTAAATAATTAACAATCAAGTTGTTATCATTTTTATGGGCTTCATTTTAAAGTGGTAAATAATTTAGTAAATTCGAATTGGAGTTTTATCGGATTTGAAATTCAATTGTATTGGCGGACAAAAACGACGGTTTGACAGACAAAGTTTATATTTCAAACAAATAGAAAAAGGTAGGCAAACGTTACATATTGTTTTTTTAATGCTTATTTACCTCATGTTTGCATGGATTCGACGGTTAATTGATCATTGTAAAGTTTGACTAGTAAAACTTAATGTCACATGATTTCGCGACATAAATATATTCGTTTCCTCGTTAGAGCACTTCATTATTTGCTTTTTTGTACTATCGGATCATTTTTCTCACACTGGCATTGTCAAATTATTTTTGCATAATCAATGGTATGAAATATACTAGCAATTTAAATCAATAAAACGTTAATGCAGTACGTTAGACTATATTATTCAAATGTTGGCATATAAAATTTCCTCTTATTTCTTATCAACATGAATTTCCCTTATATGAGGGGCCAGTCATTTACATATGTATCACTTAACTCAAGCACAGTTTGATTTTGATGTCTGTGTTATATTGTTGTTTAACTACAGGTTGTTAAATTGAAGTACTTTAACCATGATCATACCATGTGTTTCTTATAATTATTATAATGATTCATGGCATTTGATACATGTAAATGATACTTTTGGTAAGATATATCTGAAACCACATTTTTTAATACTTATCTTTACATTAATGTATTGAGACTACACATTAGTAGTCAGTAAACAGTGGTAAACACATTATCAAGGTTATAAATCAATAAAAATAATATTTTGTTAATTAGCCTGCTTATCAAATATAGTGAAACAAGTTATATGCTCTTATCATAAAACGTTTGTACCCTCAACCAATCTGCCCTTTATACTCTTAGCTGATCGGATCATGCTGGGCAGAGATGATATCTATAAATTGACAGTAACATGTGAATTTCTTTGATGTTGTATGAGCATTTGTATAAATTATAATGAATATAAAAAAATAACATTTTCATATTAAATTTTGCGCAGGTAGAATTGATTTGGTATTTGTTATGCTTATGAGTTAACGAAGATAAATGATCTAAGTTTAACTTTTATTTCTTTAAACACCTCTGTATGATTGAACAACAAATTTCACAAAGCTTCTCTCAAAAAGGTCTGGTGAATATTTATCACGATCTTTGATTCTATCATTCAAAGAAATTGCCAATTTTGAAATAAAAAATGTTTTGTATTTTTCTTTCTCTTATTTCTCTTAAAATTGAAGTAAATATAATTGGATTTTGCCTATTATATTAGACAAACATCACATGGCTAAATTAAAAAAAACGATTTTGACCAATTTTATAGTAACGCAAAATATGAAGTCTATTTTTTTGTGATATCGTTATAAACAGAACACAAAATTATCATATAATTAAAACAAAGTCATTTCAACGAATCGATAGAGTACTATAAACTTTCTGAAAATGCTATAGTTAGCAAGGTCAATGTTCAATTGCAAAAATTTCTGAAACAAACTTAATCTCATACTTAATGAAAATAATTAATTGAACATTCATCAGGTTGTTTTCGTAAACGTGCTTTGATAATTATAATATTGTTTCGTCTTTCAGTAAATATCAGAGATTGTGAAAATTACGAAAGTTCAAAGGAGGAAGATGAAATTATTAAGAGGAAAAGAAGAAGAAAAAACACCCATGATTTTGTGACAGGTATATTTTAAAATATTACATTGATCACAAAGCCATTTTTGTCAAAGGTACATGAAACTGCATGGTTTAAACTCAAGTAAAAAATAATAAGCCTCTTTTTGTTAAAGTAGTTGGAGAGTTTTGTCAGAATTTAATTTAATTGTAATATGTAAAGTGATTTATTTTTGCAATTGAAACTGATTATTTGATTTATTTTTAAATTTCAGATAGTGTGATGAGATCTCAGGTTGGAGAAGGTAAAGGTTCAGATTATGATATGCTTAAAGGATGCCCCAGATCGCCATAGTGGAGGTCGACGAAAGAAGAATGCTAATTAAGATACATGAACATTGCTTTTCATAGTAATATCAAAATATTCACAATGCTGTTCTATTTAACATTCAGATAAAAAGTACAAAGAAAACAAGATATGTTTGTAAAACATGTATGCCCCCTATCAGCAGCCAATTATTCATGTGATAAGGTAATTATGCATGACTTCTGACCCAGTGATCAAACAATTAATAAGGGTTATCAAGTACCTACTGGTCATGACCTTGACCTTTGACCCCTTGACCCAAAACTCAATAGGGGTCATCTGCTGGTCAAGACCTATCATCATACAAAGTTTGAAGTTCCTAGGCCTAAAGGTTCTTAAGTTATTGATCGAAAAGCATTTTTACCTACAAGGTCAATGTGACCTTGCCCTTTGACCCCTTAACCCCAAAATCAATAGGGGTCATCTGCTGGTCATGACCAATCACCATACCAAGTTTGCAGTTCCTAGGCCTAAGGGTTCTTTAGTTATTGATCGGAAACTGTTTTTCATGACCAATCACCATACCAAGTTTGAAGTTCCTAGGCCTAAGGGTTCTTAAGTTATTGATCGGAAACTGTTTTTACCTAAGAGGTCAATGTGACCTTGACCTTTGACCCCTTGACCCCAAAATCAATAGGGGTCATCTACTGATCATGACCAATCACCATATCAAGTTTGAAGTCCCTAGGCCTAAGGGTTCTTTCGTTATTGATCGAAACCGTTTTTACCTACAAGGTCAATGTGACCTTGACCTTTGACCCCTTAACCCCAAAATCAATAGGGTCATCTGCTGGTCATAACCAATTCACCATACCAAGTTTGAAGTTCCTAGGCCTAAGGGTTCTTATGTTATTGATCGGAAACCGTTTTTTACCCAAGAGGTCAATGTGACCTTGACCTTAGACCCCTTGACCCCAAAATCAATAGGGGTCATCTACTGATCATGACCAATCACCATACAAGTTTGAAGTTCCTAGGCCTTAAGGTTCTTTACTTATTGATCGGAAACCGTTTTTGCTTACAAGGTCAATGTGACCTTGACCTTTGACCCCTTGACCCCAAAATCAATAGGGGTCATGTACTTGTCATGACCAATCACCATACCAAGTTTGAAGTTCCTAGGCCTAAGGGTTCTTTAGTTATCACTCGGAAACCATTTGGTCTACGGACCGACGGACCGACAGACCGACAAGTGCAAAGCAATATACCCTCTTTTCTTCGAAATGGGGGCATAAATATACAATCAGTGATTGGGATAGATAAAATCGAAAATCCCAACCTCAGGGTGATCGGTTCAGTCGGGAATAAGCCTTGGTGATATAAGAAAAACATGCATGAATGTTAACCATACAAAATGTCAGTGTTAATGTTTATAAATGAAGAATTTTGTCTCTCTAAAACATGATTAATTAATACATGAAGCGTAATTTTAGTACATACTGTCAAGTTTAAAAGTTTCAAAATACGTTATTTCTTATAGTACCACATTTATTTTGTACATGTGATTATTGAAAATAAATTGTTGAAATTATAAGAATGCTTATTTGTTCACCCTTCTAATGAGCTTAATAATGAAAAAACATATTCCAAAAAGTTTGGCATGGTCAGATAAGGTTGGATTATGGTCAGATAATGGTCAGAAAAGGTTGAATTATGGTCAGATAATGGTCAGAAAAGGTTGGATTGTGGTCAGAAAAGGTTGGATTATGTCCAAATAATGGTCAGAAAAGGTTGGATTTATGGTCAGATAAGGTTGGATAAAGGTCATTTTATAACGTTGTATAGACGTCGGTTTCTGACGTCTAAAAAACTTTCAAATCCAACCTTCTGCCAACATTTACTTAACATCAGGGTCTAACGTCAGTACAACGTTGGTACACCGTCTTTTGTTTGCTGGGCTATAGTTCTTATGAATGAAATGAATGTTTATTTTCTGATTTTGTACATCATTCTTTCACCGGAAGTGTTATAAGCATGCATCTGCTATTATGTAGACGCTCATTAAAAGCGCTGTGATATCTATATTTAGCTCAAAAGGATTTCAAAATGGCGGCGCCCAGTTAACTAAGGATTTCTTCACAGCTCATAAGGTATAGGATATATATTTTTTTGAAATTTTCATTTACTTTTAATTTGATTTCATTTGAATTGATACGCGTCATACATGTTATCTAAGAGCGCTACAGCCCTAGCGGGGCCTCGGCCCCGCTCGTACTTTCCGCGTTTTAGACGTCAGGCTTGACCGACATAAACTATAACAAGCCTGTAATGTCTAATATATTGGACTATATTTATTCTGGGTTCAAATCCTGTCAGTGACTACACATTTTTCTAACCTTGTGACAAATGTGCTCTCAAATGACCAAAGTATAAACAGAAAAAATAACTACTTCCAAATAAGAAATGTAATATGTACACTTTTCTTGAATATGATCCTTCTGCCTTTTCCTTTTGTTGCCACTGGTTTGGCACTGACACGATATTTCGATGGTTTGTTTCTTGAGCTTTTTCTTAACACTCTTTCCTGCGCACTCTCGGAGTTTTGTCCACCCTTTTTTGCTTGATTTCCACCGTTCCCATTTTGTTCCTTACCACCATGTGTCTGCTTTGTTACGCATTCGTTGCACAAAATGTCGCCTTTGTCTCCTTTGCTCCACATTTTCGATTCATTGCTTTTACAAGCACTACACACTGGCTTAACTCCCAGAGGCATGATTAGTTGTGAGTCCTCACTATTCAGAAATTCCCGTCGCAATCTTTTAATAAAACAAATAGCTACTCTAATACAACTTTGTTTATTTGTAAATTGGGGAAAATGTCCAATTCGATCCGAACAATAGACGGAAGTTAGTTTCTTATTAAGAGAAGTCTAAAGGGAGGCAACTCAAACCATTCGTTCACATTATGATTCGACCATGATCAGACTATTCGTCATTTTAAATGACGATTCTAATTATTCCATAAAACTGAAGAACAATAATAGGCAATATCCCGGATGAGTCCTATTTCTTCTACTGTAAACAATGGCCAACTTCACTTTTAGTGTTGATCTCTATTACACAGACGCTTTCTTCCACACATAAATATGTAAATTTCACTTACGCACAATTCAGATATTCGGCGTCATGAATTCATGTCTTTGCTTCAATTAATGCGTTTCTTAAGACTTTCTTAAGACTTACTTTGTCTTATATTTATACAATTAAACAAAATGGAAACGTAAATTCAGCAAACCTCATAAACATTACGAATTCCATGTCTGCTACCACGGATTTAAATTACAATTAAAGTCCGTGCTGCTACAGAGACAAATTTACGGAATGAATACTATAACTATGTAGCAGGAGAGGGCTACTTCCGAGGCGACAGGTTGCAAAATTATCACAACCCGGCTTCGCAAGTTCCTCTCCCTTTTACTTGCTACTGATTATAATGCCTGAAGCTTGGACTCACTTCGTCCCTTTATAAATTCTGAATATTTGCTGCAAGAAATGACAAAAACACCAAGTTTCCAGTTCTGATTTTTAATACAAAACTAAATACTTATACGACAATGTTCTTTGTTCAAACATATAAACATAGACATTAATTATAATTTCTATAATATTAACCAAATTTAATTTTAAGAACTTACAAGTCCGAATAATGGAAGAGAGATATAATGCACTTTTACTTTAATAAAGAAATACTTAATAATTTACTTTTACTTTTAATAAAAAGAATATACCTAATAAATTTAGATATGGGAAGAGGCGGTAGCTTGGCTTTGTAAACTTTGCTATCAATGATGCATGTATGTAGTTAAAGCTTAATGAGGGTCCATCCGCCCTCTCGGGCACAAAATGCAGCTTTCGCTGTCGAGTACGGACCCCGGACATGTCACCAGTCATGCCCTTAAAGAGTTAATTTTGAAGCATAAAATGGTGATAATTTATACCTCCATGCAATCTCCACGGAGTATTAGCCAAAGATATGAATTTTGAGCCAAAAGTAGGTCACTGTACGGCGGTCAATGAGAACCTAAATGTACAGTAACCTAGATGTGACAATAGGAAAGGTGTTTAGCCCTGAAAAGGGCTGTTGGTGCCAGCTATAGGCCTGCCTTACAAGCCGTCTATCTGTCCTAGGGGCTCACGCACCCTAGTACACCATCCTCGTCGTCTCAGCCTACATTGTAGGGCCACTCCCCTCGGCATTAGTCAGGACATCGGCAGCTGGTCCGCAGAAGTGACGAATAGGATTCCGTAGTTAACGCCCACGGATGAAGGCTACGTTAAAGTTGTCTACCAGCCAAGTTGTAAATCTTCTGCCGATGCCCTGTGCCTTCTCAGCGACGTGCACGCTCCGAGCTATCAATGATGCCAATAAAATCTGACCTTATATACCAAAGTAATTATTATTTCTAATCAACCAATATATCAACATATTATTTTAAACATTTAGCTTCATGAACATAAATTAAGAATAATTACCAAAAAAGACAGTGTCAAAAATCAGAACATTTATTTACAAAGGGAAACAACCTGCCCTACTACAACTGTAACAGTTATAGTATTCATTCCGTAAATTAATAATTTTAGTTTTAAATTACATAAATAAAGAAACACTTGTATCTCTATATAAATATATCTCTTAATATAATCACGGGATTATTATTGAACGATAATTCTCATTGAAAGAATAGTCCTCGAGTAAATATAGTATTCATTCCGTATTATGAACAATTAAAACAGTCACCGCAAAACATCTCCAAGCCCCATTTTATAAAATATAGAAGCCCCCAAAGAAAACCCTTTTCCCGGGAATACTTCCCTTCTGTAGCATGTCATATAAACTTGAAAATGAAAAATGTTTCTCTCTATATATAATCCCGGTATAGTCCCCGGATTGTTTTTGAACGGCAATTCCCAGTGAAAGAATAGTCCCCCGAGACTTTTCTTTTTCGAGTAAAATAGTATTCATTCCGTTTTATGAACAAATAACAGTCACCCCAAAACATCTCCAAGCCCCATTTTATAAAATATTGAAGCCCCAAAGAAAACCCTTTTCCCGGGAATACTTCCCTTTTGTAGCATGTCACATAAACTTGAAAATGAAATATATAATCCCGGTATAGTCCCCGGGGATCATTTTTGAACGGCAATTCCCATTGAAAGAATAGTCCCCGGGGACTTTTCTTTTTCGAGTAAAATAGTATTCATTCCGTATATATAATCAATTAAAACATATATTTTTTTTTCCAAATTTTATCAAAGAATGTAAAATCACGGACTGAATATTATTGTTAGGAAAACAACAACATTATGGTTGATATTGAGTAAGCACATTTCGTACATATTAAGTTGTTTTTTATTCCTTTTTCAACAAAGTTTGCCATTAACGGTAAAACAATGTATTTCATATAAATTTATAATTTTACCGCAAATGTTTTTATTAGTGTGTAGCCGGACACAAACACATATTTAGGCAAGCGTCTATATGTTCGTGATTGAAATAGTAAACAGTAAGTACTAGCTACTTGTGTTCTATATGTGAGTGAAAACACAAAATTCTGTACATCCAAGTGAAATATAAATTAATATTACGTGCAAATCATACAGATAGAATTTCTATTTATTTGATACTGTTTAGGGTCATTTTGACTGACTTTTGTCATTTAACGTTACAGTACAATATATACTGTGAGTGACATATGAGTGCTGATTTTATTTCACGAATAAAAACCAGCATTTCGCTGATAAGCACAAATGAATATTTTAATATTTAAACATGGGAATAGCCTGCAATTACTTTACCCCTTGAAAAGTTTTGTTTAGTTATTTAGTTAGTTGTTTTAAGCTGCATGCCTCAAGATAAGCCAAAATATTTCAAGAAAATCACACTTGAGAAAAATATTCTAAGATCTTAAGAAAAGTAAAAAGATTCAAGATTCAAGTAAAAATTTACATGTTATTTGCAATTAATGAGTGATTTTGTGGTATTTTTTGCCATATTTCTTCCGCGTGATTTACGCGGTATATAAAGACTATTTTTGCAACAGATTTATATTACATTAACATCCGTGTTTTGTTTTTGGTTTTTTTTGTTTGTTTTTTTTTTGTTGAAAATTTTGACCTCTTATTTATGATTTAAGTGGATCCTAAGTGCGGTTTTACTTTCTTTGTTCACTTCTTAAATAAGTTTTAAAAATTGTTATGAAAGTTACTAGCTTGAATCTAAGAGAGATGCTGCTAAAATAACCGTCTTAACCACAATTAAGTCTTATTAAAACACAAGTGATAATAAGAATAACCGCATACATTTTGTGCTTGATGAACAATGCTTTATCTGAAAATATTTGCCATTCTATTACGTAAGCGATTATTGTGATTGCTTTAAGGAAGAATGAAACCACCACTAAACATTAACGTTTCTTCTTATTGGTAATTATTTACCTATTGTTGATCAAGAGATACTTAAAAAAACAATAGATGACCCAAGAAAAGTATCTCTCTACGACACTTCATATCAAAAATACATGTAGAACTAGGGTTTCTCTTCCGGAATATAAAGTCCTGCTATGGAATCATCATCTAGATATAGGCCGCAACAATGTCGTTCTCAACACAGGATCAGATATTTTTGTTTTTCATGATTTTGATAGAATTATGCCAAGGTATGTTTGTCATTTATATAAAAATTGTTTTCTTACATAGAACTTATTATATGTATTATCAAAATATAAGGACTAATATCTTTATTAATCAATTTTTTTTCATAATGGAATCTAAGATATATATGTACAATATTGGAGCAAAAGGAGATTAAAGAAAATATTTTTGGTGATAACTATTGCCTCTGACACCTGAGGTCATGTAGACTAATAACAAAACTTATTAACGATGTGATTCTTTTTTTTTTCAAATATAAAAGAAAGTTATAGAATAGTAATGAACAAGTGCGCGATTAGCGACTTGATATAAGAGTTGTGGTATATCACAAGAGACACTAAAATAATTACCTGATGCTCCGGAGACAATGTCCAAGGATGCACTATAAATAGAGATGACCACTGGTATCATGACACAGTATTCCTCATTACATATTACTTGGCATATAACATGATAACATATAAGGTAACCTTTGGCATATATCGTTTGGCTATTTCTTTTTTGATGCGGAGGCTGACCTTGTTAATACATATAATAATACATAGTTGTTTAAGTGAAGTATTAATTTTTATCTTTTTGTTGCAGAAAATAGCCTCAAAATATACGGTACATTTTTATGAAGTGTAAAATTGTAATTCATCATTTTGGTTGCAGACAACAGTCAAACAGAGGCTAGATCAAACTATGGGTATCCTTTTGAATCCATGACAACTGAGCAATGGCAGTCCACGACTGAGGTCAGTCCAAATGGTAAGAAATCAAGAAAAGCAAGAACTATTGTAAAATTCATTTAAATGCGTCCTATTGTCTGTATAAGGTTAATTCTCTCATTAACCATATAACGTTCATTATCTAGTTATCCATATAACGTTAATTTTATTGTTAATTTTCTGATTAGCCATATAACGTTAATTCTCTTTTAGCCATATAACGTAAATTCTGAAATACGAATAACAAGCGTCTATAGCAAACCAATTTGTCAGTGTTCATGAGAGACAATGCACCTTTTAGTTAAGCTTTACTTATTTAATGTAAATTGTGAAGAAATGTGTAGATTATCGTAACCAAATTCGAATCGTCTTCCCGAAACAAACCAGTATCAGTGTCATATGACAGCATTGTCTTGACCCCAGTAGGGTTTGAACCCACGATCTCTGAGTAGAGAGGCCAACACCTTAACCACTAGAATAACGCTCCCGTTCTACATCTTTTAACTTAATAGTCTGGGACTGGGTAGCCGTTTCAGGAATAAAAAAAGTATTTTGTGATTGAATGATCTTAACGGACCAGATTTGTCGGTTGAGTTTTACGTCGCGCAAACACAGTATAGTCATATGGCAACTTTCCAGCTTTATTGGTGGAGAAAGACCTCAAGTGCTCTGTCGGGATTCGACCCACAGCGGTGAGGGGCCAGATAAGTAACGACGCATGGATAACATTGATAGTACAACTGTAATCAACAAAAGCGTGAGATTGTAGATTTGCAAATCCAGGTTCATATGTCGAATGATTTAAGGTGCAGACGCCGGATCATTTCTTCTCATAACCATAGCTTCGAGTCCTGCAAGGGATTTTGATTCCATATAACCCTAAGAATGTAATATCGTTAAACCCCAGGTACTCCTACGGACAAAATTCGAGTAAGAATGATCACCTTTGCGAGTGGTCACCTAAGTATATATTGTTGTTGTTGTCTTTCAGGATCTACAAATTGGGAAGGGTTCTTAGGGCTGTTGGTTCTTATAGCGCTGGGTGTAGGTATTTGGTGGTGCTGCTGTAAAAGTCAGTGAGTATAAAATTTGATTGGATATATATTTTTTAAATGTTTGTTTAGAATTGAAATTACAGTAAAAACCCGCTTTACGACCACCCCGTTTTCGAGACCAACCCGCTAATACGAACGATTTTTTAAAGACCCGATTTTTTTATTCTTTATTTTAATGGTCGCTAACCCCGATTTTGAGACCACCCCGTTATTCCGTAATACGACCAGTAAATTCAGTCCCATTTCGTAAATTCTGTACATTTGGAAACCCATTAATACGACCGCGGGCACTTTCTCACCTTGATATTGACATGCATGTATATTGCTGAAATCTTTTTGACACGTGATGTAAACAAAGGTTGTCCTAGTTTTACGACATTTAACGACATCCAATTTACGGCAGAGGTCAAGGTTACTTTGTATCAAATCCGGAAATGATCAATAATATTGTCGATAATTTCTTAATTTCACACCTTTAATGTCATAACTGGAGGATTAAAACAACAAAATATTGAACAGAGAACTTTCAATAAGTTTTTTAGAGGTGTTGCTGCTATCATTATCTCTTTCGTTCCATAATTTTCAACAAATATAAACATGATACGATTAGGTTTTTGAAGTTGTTATCGGCGATGAACTGTGAAAATAGTTAAAGGTTAATTGTTCGGTGTGCTTTGTAGTAAAATGGTGATTTAATTGAGTAAGATGTGTCATTTTTTTAACAAGAATGTAAAAATATGTTTGTGTTTAAAGACATTCATAATACATTTTGTACCTCTAAAGAAGTTTAAAAATTTTATAATGTTAAAAAGTGAAATAAAATAAATGAAAATAAAAAAAATAATAGTGTATGCTTTATATCTTCTCATTTGAAATAGGTTAGCCCAGAAATAAACATGTGTACAGTACATGGTATCCCTTAATATATTGCCTGGTTTTCTGTTTGACCAAACTCATTAATGAGACCAACCCGCTATTAAGACCAGATTTGTAAAGTCCCTTCATTGGTCTCATTAGCGAGTTTTTACTGTACCATTCAAGGTTCAGAAAGGTGATTAACTAATTAAAATCCCTTATTTGCATATACGAACACCATAAAATAGATTTTTAGGATTTTTGTCTGGTTTTACGTCACAACAACAAAGTACAGGTCAAATGGCGACTTTAAATCAGTTGAGGAACACCTAAGCTGCCCCTTAACCACAATACCACGGACTCGGGTGTCGGTTAACTCTATTTTCATCCTGTATAATCCATGAAAAATCAGTCACACAATTCGGGCTTAATTCTGGATTTTACAAAACCCGTTGAGGAACCTTTTGTATATGACACAAAATGTCAACACTACATGAAATCTGGAACATCATTGTGCCCCTGCTGAAAATAATACAATAGCCTTTTTTAAATTATCATTCAATATGTTTAATTAGTGTTAAATGGATGTTACCAATCTGACTAAAGCACAGATCTTCTTATTTCTGACACATGTAGCGTTATTTCGGAGCTGATTAGATTGAGATGAAACAGTCATGTCCGCTGGTTTGTAACTTACTTCCTTAATTCTTCCGCACGAAACAACATTTAAAGGGCCAGATGTTAATCTTAAACTCTACAGATGCAATAAAAACACTATAATAGGAACAATTGATGACTTGAATTAAATGGATCATATTTTTATAAAACTATTTTCTACAATGAGTCAGTTGTACCAGGGAACAATATAATAAAGTAGTTCAAATAATATCTAGTCTAGATTAGATCTAAAAGAAAAACCATGGCAACATGGAAAATAATGAAACCTGAGGGTTTTTTTTTTAATGTCAGGTTTACCACATTACCAGGGCCATAGACATGCGCAATTAACAGATGCTATCTTGACTTGGACTGAAATAGTAATATTTTGTTGTAATATCCTATATGAATATGTACGACTGGACAATTTTACATATAAATTTAATCACTTTTACATTTTAAAATTATCCTTGCAAGTCAAGAGATAAAAAAACAATGTTAACATACAATACCTGTATACATATATCAAGAGTATACCTAATTGCTCACAGACAATATAAACTTGAAAGGCGTACATAGTCTTCAATTTGTCTTAATATAACTTTTATGTCCCTTGTCTTCCACAGGAGTAGAAAACAACCTGGAATCGTCTTTACACCGGTTAATACTGTCGGGAGATATCCACCAGTACCAGGTAACAGCGTTATTTATGGAATGCAAGGACAACAAAACTTTCCGACGGCCATAAACCATATTGAAATGCCAGGGCGACAAAACTATACAACACAAATGAGCTATGCTGAAAACCAAGGCCGACAGAACTTTAACACACCTTTTATAAAGGTTGACATTCCTAGTCAAATTAACTGTCCAGTGTCAAATAACGATATTAAAACTCAGGTCCGAAATAAGGATGTTCAAATACCTTATCAAAAGAAAGAAGTTGAAATCCAGGTCCAAAACAACACTGTTGACCTTCATAGCCGAGATAATGAGTTTGACCGACGCAATGACAAGGAAATCCCGGGCCGACGAAAAGTTTTAGCACAGAACATTGACGGTGAAATACAAGGCCGGCACAAAGTATCAACACAGTACAGCGACGGCGAAATACCCGGTCGACACAAAAGATCAAAGCAGGTGGAAATTGAAATGTCAGAACTCTAAAACTGAGGTGCATATAGTGTTTCAAAGATATTACGATTCGTGAAAATATTTTACGAGTGTGCATCGATAAATTCGTAAACTAAATCAATAGCGGGAAATTATTAAATTCAAGTATTAAAATGATTACTCCTTCTCAAAGTAACGTCCCATGCACGATTTGCACTTGTCCCATCTCTCGACCCATGACTCGAACACGTGTTGTAGCCCGTCACGTGACATCTCCCGCAGCTGTTTGTCCACGGCACACCTCAGTTCCTCTCTTGATTCAAATTTCGTACCACGAAAGCTGTTTTTTTTAAGTTGAAAACAGCCAGAAGTCTCATATTGCTAGGTCCGGGCTGTCGGGTGGGTGCGGTAACAGTTCGACGCCGAGTTTTTCTAGTGTATCCATGTCAACATGGCTTGAATGGCTCGGCGCGTTGTCGTGATGTAATATAAATCCAGACCTAAGTAGATGTTGGCGCTTTCTCCTTATTGCGCCATGAGTACCTTTCTTAGTAATGTTGCATAATAGTTCCCAGTGACTGTCGTTTTCGGAGGAACAAAGTGGTTTAGCACTACACCGTATGTATCACAGAATATAATGGCCATAACCTTCCCGGCTGACTTGGAAATTATCGCTTTTGTAGAAGAAAGCGAGGAAGGATGCTTCCAGACAGAACTCTGACGTTTGCTTTCCGGTTCAAAAAAGTGAATCCAAGTTTCATCACTTGTTATCACTCGATTTAGAAACTTCACCATACCTCTTGTCGTACTGCTGACACATTTTCGTCTTTACCGCCATTTGCTCCGACGTCAACAAACAAAGCACCCTGGTGCTGAAACGCGGCGCATTCCTAATCTATCGGTCATAATTTCCTGAGCTGGACCATATGAAATAGCGAACTTATCTGCTTATGTTACTTACTCGTCTATCTCGGAGTATGTACTCCTGAATGGCAGCCACTGTTTCTTCATCTGTTACAGTCACTGGCCGACTGTCAACTTCAGTTGCCTCTCTACCGTCTTTAAACTACAACTTCAACGGGGTTACTCGACAATATCCACCAGGTAGACATCGACGTCGAAGGGGGCGAAGACTGTACATCGGTGTAGAGTGGCGTGTTCCGACATCAATTTTTAAATCTATGTTACACAATTGTATCGCAGCTGTCCCATGACAAACCGGTGTTCCACAATACACTCTAAACAGCTATTAAAAAGTTTACTACTTTATACATGAGAGTCACAACTGCCCATACTCTAAGTAGTTGAAGACTGGGCCATTGTATTTTATTTATCAGTTCAGTTGCACTAGAAGGATTGTGTAGGTTATACGGTCTATTAAATACCCCTCTCGCTGCGTCTCCTTGGATTTGTTCTATCTGTTTAACTTTGTTTTGTAAAGGATTCCATATCGGAGAAGCGTGTTCAAGTTTAGGTCTGACCAAACTAATGTAAGCTTTTTCCCGACCATTTTTCAAGTTTACTAAGATCTTCCTGAAGAGCTATGTGGTCACTATGATTACTTATTGGCCGATATAACACACAATCATCAGCGAATAAACGTATATTTGATGTAATATTATCTGCGATGTCATTTATATAGATTAAAACGAGTGTTGGGCCGAGGACTGTTCCTTGCGGTAAACCAGATGTTACCGAGGCTATATCAGATGATGCGTTGTCCAGTACTACTTGTTGTGTTCTATTAGATAAAAATGAATCAATCCAACGCAATATAGTAAAATACCGGAAATGAAATCTTCAGAATATCGGATAAGACTTTCCGAGTTTTGTGTAAAACTTTATAACGATGTGCTGTTCGTTGACGCTGTGTGACGCCATTTCGAACGGACGCCCGTAACGTGACGTCATTTACGGTTTATGACGTCATAAGCGATGACATACAACGATTCAATTTGAAATAATCTGTTTACACAGCATTTATAGTTTCATTTTAAACGGACCAGTAGTTTTTAAGCTATTGAATTAGTTTACGAATTTATTGATGCACTCTCGTAAAGTAAAGCTTGCAGATTTGCAGAACTATTTTAAATGTTCAGGTTTGAATAGAGAAAAGACTAGCGGATATTCATTAATGAGTTGAGCGATTCTTGACACGAAATTCAGTGAAGAAAATATGGAGGGGAATGTTAAGAACTGTCATTGAATTCTTTATTCAATGGTCAGTTTTCATTTTTGTTAGTTTTATGCACTTTTAATTGCAAATCATACTGAATAATATGTACAAGTACTTTAAAAAAAACAAAAAAACTCATCTTCAGGCACCATTTCCGCAATGGAAAAAGAATCGGAGTCTGGATTATATACCTGGATAATAGCCACGATTAAAACATTCTGAAGCATATTCAGAAATAGTAATTGTTATTTAAAACATTTAAGGCCCATTATGCTCCAGAAAAACTTTGATCTTTTAATTTCGAAAAGGTCTTTTTTATTTTCGATATCCTGATATAGTTTCCGAAAAGTTAATCATTAGCCAATTATCTAAATCAATCTTTGGCTATTTTGCCTTTTGGTTATTATTACAATTATAGTCATTTAGTAATTTGTTTAGAAGTCAAAATACTACTTTATTTACGTTTTGCTATTTTTATGGTAAATACTTTAAATTCAGAGCTACTTTCTCTAGGTGATAAGTATGAAGCCCCAGAGGTGACATTTTAGACACTTTTTTCCCGCACTTCATTCGTTTTTAGGAAATATTAATTAGTTATGTCGGAATATTAATTCGTAATTACGAAATATTAATTCGTTTTTACGAAATATTAGTACGTTTTAACGAAATAATATTTCATTTTTACGAAATATTAATTCGTAATTCCGAAATATTAATTCTTTTTTACGAAATAATACTTTTACGTAAAACTAATTTGTAATTACGAAATACTGTTCGTTTTTACGAAATATTAATTCGTTTTTACGAAATATGAAATTGTATTAACGAAATAATAATTCGTTTTTACGAAATAATAATTCGTTTTACGAGATATTAATTCGTAATTACGAAATATTAATTCGTTTTAACGAAATTTTATTGAAGGTCATTGTGAGTTTGACAAATACCTACTATTAAAAGGGCTCATTTACAAAATAGAGAAAATAAGAATCCCTAAAGAAAGCCCAACACGACAAAATTTAAAATGTTGCAAGCTCGGTTTGATAGAGCCTGGATCAACCTTGCCACAGAATATAACGATTATAAGCCGAATGGTTCTCAAGTTATTATATTTAAGTGAACAAGGTTTTTGTGTGAGAAGTCATTCTCCATCCAAAATATTCTCTTTTTCCCCATTTTCAAATACATATTCCCAACAGCTGGCAAAAATCAAAATGCTCTAATTTTTGAGACAATTAATCTTTTCTGACTTTAAAAAAGATATATATGTATATCCCTCGTAAACTATAAAAAGGGGTCAATCAAAAAGGAGTCACTTTAAGAAGAATAAATGGCGCGTTGTATTCTCATGCAAAAGGTCTTTAAATTTTGTCAATAGAGGATATTGAATGAGTGTAAGTTCAATTCTGAATTTATTGCACGAGTTTAATAAAATTATATTATGTGAGCCTCTCGCGAGCATAATATTATTTTGTTCAACGAGTTCAATAAATTCAGTTATGAACTTACACGAATTTAATATTCTATTATCACATACCCAAAATAAAAACAGTTTAAAGTGAAAAAAACAGTCTTTTTTCATTGACGCGCCTTTAGTATAGCGCTAATATTTAGCGCGTCTTTACACTATGTTTGTATAGCGCTAATGACATCACGTCAAAAAAATATGCACGGCCGTGCAATACTATTTTAACAGAGTCGCAAAATCGGCACGGGTATGTGATAAAACAGTTTTAGTGTCTGTATGTAGTTTAAACGTCACTTGTTTTCATAAGTCTTGTAGTTGAACCATCGTTTGTTTTTAGACCATATATATGTAATAAAAAAAAACTTCAAGATTTTTATTTCATTATTTGCAAAAGCGCTATGTTAAAAACCTTGTTGTTTTCAATTCATGTAAATATTTGTGTTTTACTGTATTTTTAAATGTATATTATGCTCTTCAATTATTAGAGGAAATAAAAATATATAGATCTCATATATTCAAATTCCCTGAAATATAGTTTACAAGAAAAGAATTGATGCAAAGCATCAAATGGCGTCAAAGCAAGAAATGCAGCAAGTAAAGATGAACTAGTAGACATCTGATGACCAGTTATTCTTATAAACTTCAATGGGTAATTGGTTTTTACCAGAATTATGTATCATTTATGAATGGGCAGACAAAAGACATTGTTCACCATGAACTTTGGTATGCATGCCAGAGATTAGAATATTAAATGTTTTTTTCACAGGAACTTGAAATTCTATCCATATTAACGATAATATTCAAAATATACAGGTCTATAATATCCAAAATATACCCCCTATATGGTATAACTAAGTTTACTTATATAGAGGGGTTTTTTTGGATACTATCATTAATATTGGTTATTTGATAGAATTTCAAGTTCATGTGGTATTTTCTTTGGAACATACAAAATAGTAGTCAAAAAGAACAAAGTCTGTTAATTGATTTATTGGGAGGTCAATCTGACCCATCAGTGTGTTTACATTCCTATCAATAAACAACTCATATTAAAATTGCAGACGAAAGTTTCTGTTAAAATGTCACAACATTCGGGAAATGAACATTCCACTCAAACCACCATAAAATCGATTCCCTTCAAACAAAATATAGAACAGTTACCTAAACAGACTTGAACAGCGAATATGTTTTATAGTATACTACTGCTGATGTGCCCAGAATACAATAGATATTTTTAACATATAAATTAAGTTCGCCGAAATCACAACCTATTTTATTATATATAATAAGCTCGCCGAACCGGTAGTTCGACGAAACTACTTTAACCTGTTGTTGTAATGCACTTCCGGAAGAGGGGAGTTGCATTTGCATTGACCAATGAAAACATTTACAAATCCCGTTCTTTGGATATGAATATTATTGAAGCTAACGGCGGGGTTTCTGTTCAAGCGGAAAAATGACTATTTTTAGTAACAAATTCGGCCAAACTGTTTGGCGGTGTAAAAACCCGTCAGTATACATACTAGAACAGAAGAGAACTGATTTACGTCAGGGTAGCATAAATCATAGTTGTAATTTCTTGTTGCACAACGTCAAAATAAAAGCGACATTTAAAGTTATGAACTAGGTCTATTTAAATATTCACGGTAAAAATGTCATAAGTGCAATCAGGGCCGTAAAAAAGAAAACTGGAGAGATCCACGGAAAATACAATTTCAAAATGATAATATTATGATATAACAATTCGTAAAAAATGGCCTACTTAAATGTTTTCTATAGATTTATAGAGAGGGCAATTAATTGTTTCTGCAAAATTCTCCACTTCGTTATTTATTACCATAGCGCGACACGAATGATCGTAAAACTAAAACTACTGCTATAAATAGTTTTTCGCACTTTCACAATGTTAAGGTCATCATTCTATTTATAGGTACAGCAGTAACATACATAGTAACCCACATGATTAATAAAAAACGAAGAGCGAGAATAATTGGCGAATAAGATAATTTCATTTGAATGTTTGCATTGCGAAATTCTCCAGTTCGCTATTTATTGTACGTATCGCGACATTTCATTTTTCTTCATACCAATCGGAATGATCGGCTATTATGACAGACGAAAAGGCCCAAGAAGTTGCTATTGCCCTTTCTCGTTCTATAAAGGGCGTCGCGCTTCGGCGCGGACGCCAAAAATGAAAAAGTTTGTTTTGTTTATTTGTTTTTCCCGGAGAATGGCATTCTGGAAATTGTCATGACATTACCGTAGTAATGCTAAGAGTGATAAACCTTTGTCGACAGAAAACAGTCAGTTCAACTTAAAATTCTGGAGGGTTACGTCATTTCTGTAGTAATGTTGTACCTGCTGGAACTGAAAGTGTTGAACCTTTGTCACCGATCAGATTTTACAACGGCGCAGTCTGATCAGGTTCTGTACTGTTGGTCAAACCAAATGTTTGTATTTTCATATTGAAATCCTTTAAGCTTTGAAATGGATGTTTCAAAACAGAGCAAATCTATCACGCAAATTAAGCTTTCTTATAATTGTACTTTAACATCGGTATACTAGATGTATCATTTAACATTAAAAAATATCATTAAAGAACAGTTAAAAACAGAAATTAATAAATACAACAGCTCAAAATTATTTTCCTTTTTTCACCGTTGTAAATCAATATAAAATGACGAAGACAATAATACAGCAAAACAAACAAATAAATTGAGATAAACACGCTTGGTAAATTTTTCAGTTAGCAAACGATAATTACTGATCCGCTTATATCTTCAAATATTCCGTAAATATAATTTACATGTACTGATAACACAAATTAAGGCATAGAATAGAAGTCACCATAAAATTGCAAGAGAAAATGTTATTTTACCGAATTTAATTGATCGATAATAAATTCCAAGCAAGAAACGTTTATATTTGGTAAGGTTTCTCATTTACATACGTAGAAGTTAATATATATATATATATATATTATATATATATATATATAATATATATATATATATATATATATATATAATATATATATATATATATATATTATATATATATATATATATATATATATATATATATACATTAAACAAACATTTAAACGTACATGTTCTCGGCAAAAAAAACGTCCACTTGAAATGAGAAGAATATGCACCAAATCTTTGTTTTTTTCCTGAAAAATATACTGTACGTTTGTCGTGAATCGCACCATGCCTCTCTTAAGTAAAATGCACGACATTGATCAAACAAACTTTTACTGCATGGCATGTTAAACAAAAGTGGTTCTCTGACAAACTTTGAGCAAACATCTAAATCAAACAATTACAGAACATTGGTGGTGATGAAATGCTTCGTAGGAGACAGTATCGTCATTACATATTTTTTTGCAAATTCCTGTATGTTCATTTTTGTGTATTTATGAACAGTATGCTTTCGGAAGACATATTTGTATGAGGGTTCTCAACGTGTTATATTTTTCTTAATTTCTATATATGCTAAAAGACTTAGTTTATATAGTTTAAAGGAGGGGTCCATGGTGGAGTGGTTAATGTCGATGACTTCAAACCACTTGACCCTTACCGATAAGGGTTCGATCATTTTAGGAACTATGGAGTCTTTCGTGTGAGGAAGCTATCCAGCTCTGTCATAGAACGTT